CACACACACACACACACACACACACACACACACACACACACACACACACACACACACACACACACACACACACACACACACACACACACACACACACACGCACACACACACACACACACACACACACCTTCTTTCTTGCTTGCACACGCTTGGTGCGCAGGTGCCGAGGGCGTCTGACCTGCCGCCCAACTACGGGTCGGCCGTTGGCGATCGCAAGGCCCGACACAACAAGCTGGCACACCTGGTGGCGGACGTGGAGGACGAAGACGCGCCAGAGGACGTGCCTGTGCGCATCAACCAGGACGCCAACATCTTTGTCTCGGAGCTGGACGCGGAGAAGAGCGTGTCGTTTGACCTGCGCGCCGACCGCCAGGCGTACTTGATTTGCCTGGAAGGCACGCTGCATGTTTCGGCCCCACACGTGGACGGCAGCGACGGCAAGCCCACAGAGCTGCGCGCACACGATGCTGCCAAGCTCTACGGACAGGACACGTTCACCTTCACCGCACCGCCTGACTCGCCATCCACCACACACTTTCTCTTTGTGGAGATGAAACGACAGTAACCATCTGTGTGAAAATGTGTGTATGGATGTCTCTGTGTATGTGTGTGTGTGAATATGTGTGTGTGTGTGCATGTGTGTATGGATGTGTGTGTGTGTGAATGTGTGTGTGTGCATGTGTATGGGTGTGATTGTGGATGAACTCCAACTGCTTTCCCTTTTCTCTCCCTCTCGCCAGCGATGACTCATCACCTGCGTTTGAAGATTTTCTATTGGTATCATAAACGATCATCGGCGTGCACTCCAAAGCACTGCTCGCTCGGCAAACAACAAAACAACGCACGCAGAACAACACAACAGCATTCGCATTCACCCACCCACCCCATATCCAATCCGCGTCCACAACACAACGCGCGTGGTCCTTCCCATCCTCCATTCCCGGTTTTTTGGCAAAGAAACACCACAACACACAACTGCACTTCATTGCGTCTTCACCAACAACACCTTCGCCTCAGAGGATGCGGTGTTCTGCTGTGTTCCTCGTGGGCGTGGCGCTGGCCGCGCTTTGCTGCCTGAGCAGCAACGCCTCCGCGCAATCCTACAGCCAGTTCACAATCTGCAGCTCGTCCAGCCGGTCTGTCTCGTACGACTCGTTCAGCTCTGCCTCAGCAGCCAATGAGATTATCAGCCACGCTGGCGTTGGGAGTCACGCCCATTCTGAGCCCCTGTCATGTACGACTCGGCTCTACAGCAGCGGCAGTGCTTCCTCCGTGGCTGTGGTGCTGGCCGCCATTGACATCGCCAGCGCATCCATGCAAGTGAGCGTCGGGTCCCAGAGCTCAGAGTTCATGAACATCGACCAAGTTTACGAGGGATCATCCATCACCCTCACCTACACTGGATCGTACGTGCATTTATGTGTGTGCGTGTGTGTGTGTGTGGTTGTGCGTGTGTGCGCGCGCGCGCGCGCGTGTGTGTGTGTGTGTGGTTGTGTGTGTGTGCGTGTGTGCGTGTGTGTGTGTGCTCGTGCGCTTTCACCTTTGGTTCTTCTGCCACATGCCCCACTCCCCCAAAACATACACACACACACACTCTCTCTCACGAACTAACGCTCTCACACTCTCACAAACACACGCGCCTTGACGTTTGCAGTGCGGGAAGCGGCGGGTTCCGCGCGTCTGTGTTTGGCGTGCCGGCATCGCCCGATACCAACCTCATCTGCAGCCAATCCTCTCTGTCCAGAACTGCAGCCGGGCAGCTCCTGAGCCACGCCGAAGCTGGTATCTCCGGCTACAGCAACAACGTTGACTGCACTACACTCCTGCCATATGCATCCGGATACAAGCTCATCGGACACGTAAGCCATGTTTTGCATGCGTGCGTGTGCATGTGTGTGTGCATTGTATGCATGCGTGCGCGTGCGTGTGTGTCCACAAAGACACTTGCATCTGTGCGCAGTGTTGGCTGAGCACATCATTCATTCCTCTCCTAAACAACCCCCCCCCCCCCTATTGT